TCAATTAATTTGCTCGTAAGTCCCAGGCACCTAGTTTAGCCCCCCATCCGCGCATAGTGGCGCAGGAGTTACACTCGGCGGTGAGTTTAATCGCGTATTGCACATGCTATTATCGTCTGCTACTATCGTCTGCATAAACGGTCACTATTATCGTCTGCAATGTTGCGTCTCTTGAAATTGTCAAATAATCCTAGTTTTGCCGCGATTTGTTCCTTGGCAGAAAGTCCACATTTTACATATGCCTGAGCACCGTAAGGATATTTTATGGCCGCCATATCGGGTCGAAGTTCAGAGGAGAGCCAACATAACAGTTACTAACACACTCACTGTTACTGTTACACAGAACTACAGCTAAACAATAGTGTCACAGTCGTCCGACCAGTCCGTCGTGAAAATAAAATTATTATAATAAAAAATAAGATCCTCAGTTAACTAGTAAATTATTAGCTCATTATCGTGTTACTCATCATATGTGCAGTGCACTGACTGAGAAATCCATACCCCCATACCCAAGACCTAAGTCAGGTGGCCTCCTCTAAGTAAGTTTAGTAAAGTACTGTCTGTAGCTGTACTATCACTATTATTACTATTTATTATCACTACTAAATCGAATACTATACAACTAATAGTTTAAACTGACTTCAGAGTTAGTTTAGTACTATATACTGTAAATTTAATGGTTATTTGCCAAAAGCCTGGCAGATGTATCAATAATTTTCTTGATAAAGTGGACATACAGACCACACATAAATGCCAATATTAAACGATGTAATCTAGCTGGGAAAAAATGCCTCCCCCCTAGCTTACTAGTTTTAAGTAGGCACTTTATGAGCTTAATAGCTGTACCCGGCCACGTGTTGCTGAAGCATAGTTTGGCTAAATGGAAAAGAAAGAAAATAGAAATCGCACGTGTCTAATATGGTTACTGTCGCAATCATTGCCTGCGCACATACAGTGATAGTCTTCGATGCCCTCCCCCGACCCCTCCCAAATCCACCTACTACTCGCTGCCTCATCAAAGGCTTTTGGAAAAGAAAGACAATACAAAATGAACGCTATGACAAACAACACTGCCTAATTCCAACGCAATGTTAGAAAAAATAATTAAATCTAAATGAAAATAAATGGAAATCTATGAAAATTCAGCGTAACCATGCAATCGGAAAGTTTGAAATGAAATCATAAGTATGCGAAATGGTCAAATTTAATAATCAACTGGTTTACCCACATACCTGTACTTTAAAAAAAAAGTATTTATGGCCACGTGGCTAGTGCTGTCGCCACGACAGTGCAGGTCTTGGTTTTATTTTGCCCCAGGGTAAAAAAATACCGTAGTGGGGATTTGAACCCTACAGATATCCAAGATATTAACTTCAAGTATTATTGAAATGGCACAATAATAGAAATCGCACGTGTCTAACACGGTAAATGTCGCAATTATTGTCTGCGCAGACATAGTCTTTGAATGCCCTTCCCCCCCCCTCCTTCCCTTTCTCAGATCCACTGACTATTCTCTTAACTCATCGAAGGTTGTTTGAAAAAAAAGAAAATAGAAATTGTGTCTAATATGGTTAATGTTGCAATCAGCGATATAGAGATAGTCTGGTTTGCTGTACAATGCCGGCTAATGATGGAAGTCATGCATTCCGACTACTATGCATGCGCATTTACGAACGTGGCTTTAATTAAATGTTACTAAAATGAAAATATTAGTTTCGAACATTTTTCCAACAAATGTCGTCACCTATCTCAAACAATGACAAGTTTCAAACCATGACGGGTAAAAATCCGGTATCAAAACAAACATATCCTGAAAATTTCAGCTAAATCGGTTCAGTAGTTTTCGAGTCTATAGGTAATAAACAAACACACAAACATTGATTTATATATATATATATATATAAAAATCAATGTTTGTGTGTTTGTTTCACCCCTATAGACTCGGAAACTACTGAACCGATTTAGCTGAAATTTTCAGGATATGTTTGTTGTGATACCGGATTTTGAACTGTCGTGGTTTGAAATTCAACCTGTCACTGTTAGAGATAGGTGACCACAATTTTTACAATAATATACGCAACTAATATTTATAACTTTAGTGATTTCTAATTATAGCCACGTTAGTAATTGCGCATGCGCCGTATTTACCATTCGCCGGCGAGTTACGTGCAGCCAACGCCTTCTCTAATACTAATACATAGAGTAGGTCGTGGTACAGCAAACAAGACTATCTCTATATTTGCCACAATAACCATATTAAACACGATTTCTATTTTCTGGTTTTTTTTCTTCAAACAACCTTCGATGGGGGGGGGGGGGGGGGGCAAGGGCAATCAAAGACTATCTCGACGTCGGCGCAGACAGTGACTGCGACATTAACTTCATTAACCATGTTAGACACTGCGATTTCTATTTTATTAATATATCTGGAGTATCTGTCTACGAGAAAACAATTGCCTGCGGTTTTGAATTGTGTTTTAATCGCGATACAGTGGTAGGGACACACATGTCTAATAGTTGAGTTCTCTTTTCGTTGTTCCGATTAAGTGGCTGCTTGGTCGAATGGTTAGAACACTGGGTTCATGTGCGGTAGACCTGGGTTCGAATCCGCAGTCGTTAAATTTTTTTTTACCCCGGACTAAAATAATATCCTCATCTGCTCTGTGACAGCACTAGCCATGTTGCCTTAATAAAAAAAAAAAAAAACAAGTAAATGGGTAAACCATTTGATAATTAAATTTGACCATTTCGCATACTTATGATTGCATTGTTAAACTTTCCGATTGCATGGTTACGCTGAAATTTTATAGATTTTCATTTTTTTTCTTTTAGATTTAGTTATTTCATCTGTGTTGGAATTTTAAGCTGTGCTGTTTACAATGGCGTTCATTTCCTAATTATGGTGTTTTTTTCCTGTGTTCGTTTGCTTTTCAAGTGTTTTTTTTCCCCCAATTACTTCAATGAGGGAAAGAGTTGTCTGAGAATTTGGGGGGGGGGGGGAGGGGAGGGGGGGGGCAAACTATTAACTGAGAGAGCTTTAAGTCACAGTAACTGCTTTACCCACTTAAAGTAGCAGCAGTAGTAATAGTTGTGGTTGGGCTGTTACACCATAGTGCTCTCATGTGAAGACCGCCGGTAAGGTTATGGCGTTCTTCTGTCGGCAAGTGAAATTATACATCCTAACCTGATCAGTCTGTGGCGACAGCACTAGCCATGCGGAACCAAATCTTCTGGCTCACGACTTTCTGTCTACTCCGATGGTAACACAGATAGCAGTGACATTATTTTAGTAGTTGTACTGGTACTTGAAGGATGATGTGGTAAATATTACACTAGCCCTATTAACTACCTTTTACAATTCCTGCTCCCTATTTTAGTCCAGATGGACAGGGATGTCAATGTCAGTTACAGCAACAACAAAATATCGCCAGTTAGTGATTTTCAAATCCTTCGAAGAGGGAAAGAGCAGTAGTCGGTGGAAGAGGGGAGGGGGTAATGACTTAAATTTAAGAGAAATTAAAGAGCTTTACACTTGATTTTCAAGTTCTCATTACCTAATTTGTTTATATTTTACTAACGCTACCTCCGCTTTTCTATTTTTTACGACTTACTTTGTTATTCACAAGTACAGTTGTAGCTTTACTTCCGTCCCCTATAAAAATACAAACAGCTTTAGCATGTGATAACCAAATAACCATTTTTGTTACTGTAATAACACCATTTAAACGACCACTAATATAAAGACACAATTATAAGGTGCGTGTTCTAAAGTTGGAAAACCAGACTAGCTCTATATCTGTGCAGAGAATGATTGCGACATTAACTGTATTAGACACGTGCGATTTCCTTTGTCTTTCTTTTCCAAAAACCTTTGATGAGGGAGATAGTAGTAGGTGGATTTAGTTGTGGTGGTGGGCGGGGATCAAAGACTATCTCTATATCTGAGCAGACAATGATTGTATGAGACACGTGCGATTTCTATTTTCTTTCATTTCCATTTAGCCAAACTATGCCACAGCAACGCGTGGCCGGGTACAGCTAGTATATACATATATATATATATATATATATATATATATATATATATATATATATATATATAGATGATTACAAAAGGTTTAAAGTACCCAAAAAAAATTGTTTGGTTTTGCACTATATGGCTCAATCTTTCTCTACACAATGGCAAGCCACCTTTAAAAAAAAAAGACACAAAAAGCACAACCCCCGTAACTCCACCAATAAATCTCATATAACCAGCACTTTAGTAAGTATTTTAACTTGATTACAAAATGCCGCCATGATGGGTGATATGTTCTGGTTTTAGGGGTGATAAGGCAGGTAAAAATATATCAAACTTAAAGTAATGACAGATGCATTAAAATTGTTGTAACTGTTGTAGATTTAAAAAAAAAAAAAAAAAAAAAAAAAATACAACTTCTGTTGTTGGACACAATCAAAGGCTTTGTTATAATCCATCGGCTATCCTCCGAAAATTATCGAGGCCGATAATATACCCTAACAGCTCCTCAGTCACGTGTCAATTGAGGACTTCAGGCGACTTTAATTGCGCACTTCCTGCGACTTCCGCCACCGCCAAGAGCATCCCCCTCGCCGCTCACGCCGCATGGATTGGGGCTAAACTAGATGGCTGGGACTCATGAGCAGCAGCAACTACTGCATTTCCTGCAGCTTCCATCATTTTATTTGCTCCTGAGTCCCAGTCATCTAGTTTAGTCCCAGTCCATGCGGTGTGAGTGGCACTCTCGGCGGTGGTGGTATAGTCCCCGGAGGTGAGCAATTGACACGTGACTGAGGTCCTGTTAGGGTATATTTTCGGCCTCGATAATTTGGGACCGTTATTCGAAGGATAGCCAATCCATCCATAAAACTAGCATGAAGATCTGCATTGTGTTTTCCAAGATTTTAATATATTTTGCCAGTTTCACTTGAAAAGTCAGTATATATTGTATAATTTTTCACTTCTCTGTTGTGTATTTCAGGCCATTGTCTATGTCAGAAAATTTAAGCAAATTAGCACATAAGATTGACTTTTACAAAGATGAAAGTGAGGAGAAAGGAAAACCAACATCGGAAGGAGAAAAAGACACAGATGAAGAAAAAGTTCTAGCTCCATTTCAGCCATCGCTGTGGCCTTGGGATTCAGTGAGGAATAAACTGAAGTAGGTCTTTATTTAAGTGCTGTTATGAAGTGATCTGATTCAGGTACTCTAACCCTTTCACTCTGGAAAACCGGGAAACCCAGAAATACCCCCCCCCCCCCACCCCCAAATCCCTGATTTAAAAAAAATGAATTTTATGTGCATACATTTAAAAAAAAACATGCATGAAAGGGAGAATTAGTTTGCCATTTCTGCCTTATTGTCATACTTTGTCAAAATTATGCAGAAATGGTCTGCTGTTTGATGAAAGAATGAAATGTAAATGAGGTTCTAAGAAGGATCTCAGTTGAGGATTGACTTTATTGCACTAGGTTTTATCTCATATAGCTTGGTTTCTCTCTGCAGAATGGTTAGCACAAAGCATGTTCTCAGGAGCTCATGCGATGCTCCTTAGAAATCTCAGAAAAATACTGCACTCATGAACTGAACAATGAGTTCTTTGTCTCAACCCTCATGATCTTTGTCAATCTTCTTTACACATGTAACTTCCACACTTTTCATTATTATCTGCTGCTTTCTTTCTTCTTCTTTTTTAAAAATCTTCCCTATTAAAGTAAATATTGGTGAAGATAATATAACTAATGTTAAATTACTGCTGTCTTTGTTGCTCCCCTTCTGCTTTAGAAATGCTATAATTGATATCTTCAAGAAACCATATAGAAATGTTGAGTATATAAACTTTGCAGAATGTAGGAATAGACTATGAGCCCTGTGTGGCATATAATGGCACAACAGGACAGCAAATAAATATAAACGTTTTTTTTTTCAATTTTTGTCTGCTGGCTTGTTCATGTTTGCATGTTGAGTTGTCTGAAAAAGTAGGGATGGTCACTAATGTGACTGCTACATTTCAGTTGCTAAATGTACAAATCCCACTTGAAAATTAAGGGTATCTCATCCCTTTTTTTTTCTATTGCTCTTAAAATGATGGATTGCACATTAAATTGTGGTTAACAGCTTGGCGTGAAATTTCTGGCATTCAGCCCAGACACATAATTTAAGTAAACGTGCTGTTGCAATTTATGGGTCTATTCCCCACCTCCCCCTGATGGGGTGCCGGAGCCCACATGAGAAGGTATATTACAAGTATTAGAAACACCACTGTGACAATTAGTAATAATAGTATTTAACTAAAAGTAAGCCAAATTAATTTTATGATATGTGAAGTTGCGACAGGCCTAGCAAGCCGGCAATGGATTTATTATCGCTACAGAAAACACAATGAAATATAAAAATACTTTGCTTAGTATTGCAGAAGAATTAAGTGGAAAACGGAAGAGTGGAAACAGACGGGGAAATAACAAATATTCACCTTGGTGGTGCGAAGAAGTAAAAGACGCAATTAAAAAGAAAAAGGACTTATATAAACAGTGGATAAAATCAAAGAAAGAAGAAGATTATATAAACTATAGACTGCAAAGGAGAGAAACCAACAGGAGTGTCAAGAAAGCAAAACAAGCATCCTGGGAATGTTTCGGTGAGTCATTAGCAGAAAATAAGAAAACAGCCAGCAGAAAATTCTCAAAGTAGTTAAAAATATGCGGAAAAGAGATGAGAGCTACAACCCCACTGAAATAATTAATGATGAGACAGGAAGGCCATTGATAGATCCACCCGAGATAGCAGAAAGATGGAGGGAATACTTCAATGAGATCTTTAATCCTCTAGGAGATCATCAGGAAAGAACAACTGAAGAGCACAGAGCAACAGTGTTAGAACCACACATACTAATGGATGAAATAGAAAAAGTCATTGAGCAGTCTCCCAAATATAAAGCACCAGGAGCTGATAGATTACCAACAGAAATAATTCAAACAGCAGGTGAAAGCAGCATCAGATGGCTTCACAGAATATTTAATGCAGCATGGGTACAACAAACTGCCCCTATTGATTGGCAACATGCAATAGTTATACCTTTGTGGAAGAACAAAGGAAGCAAACGAGAATGCAGTCAATACCGAGGCATCTCTCTTTTAAGTCATATTGGCAAAATGTATGCCAATATAATAGAAACAAGACTGAGACCAGTGATAGAACCACAGCTGGAAGAAGAACAGATGGGATTTAGGAGAAATAGAAGCTGCACAGATGCAATCTTCACACTTAAACAGTTAATAGAAAAGAACATTGAATACAATAAGAACTTATTTGTGGCATTCGTAGACCAGGAGAAGGCATTTGACAGAGTCGACAGACAATTATTATGGAAAATAATTGCAAGATATGGAGTAAGCGAACACCTCATCGAAGTGTGCAAAAGTTTATACAGGGATTGTAGAAGTGTAGTCAGAATAAATCAGGGAACATCTCATCCATTCACAGTAACATCTGGAGTAAGACAGGGGTGTGTCTTATCACCACTGCTGTTTATCACCTACATCGACAGTATATGCAAGAATGCCAAGCCCATGAATGAAAATGTTAGTAAGATCAACGAATTACCCTTTGCAGATGACCAGGCCTTGATAGCAGATACAGCCATGAAATTACAACAACATCTAACATCCTTGAATGAAGAATGTAAAACAAATAATATGAGAATCAACACTGAAAAGACAGAAGTAATGTCAATAGGAAAAAAGAAAACAGATCTAAACATAGCAATAGAGTGCAAAGGCATTAAACAGGCATCTGAGTTTAAATATCTGGGAGCTACATTTACCGAAGATGGGAAAGTGGATAAGGAAATCAACATTAGATGCAGTAAAGCAAACCAAGTATTGGGACAGCTAGCCCCCCTCTTACAGCATAAGACAATCTCAATCAGCACAAAGAGACATCTTATTCAAAGCATATTTATTCCAACTCTGTGCTACCAGTGCCAGGCATGGTCACTCACAACAAACCATAAAAGAAAATTAGTAACCATGGAAATGAGATGTCTGAGAAGGGCTGTAGGAGTGACCATAAGAGATAAGATCAGGAATGAGATCATAAGTAAAAAGTCGGCAAAGAACCAATTCTGGATTACATACAAAGACAGCAAGTGAAATGGTTTGCCCACTTAGAGAGAATGCCTTGTGACACCATACCATACAAAGCATACATGGAAAGAGAAGGACGTAGAGCATGAGGTAGACCAAGAACAAGATGGAAGGATAACATCAGAGAAACTCTGCAACAGCATGATGTGCCTATGGTCAGGCGGCCAGAAGAGCTAGAAACAGAACCTTATATCTCCCTCGACACCCACAGCAGTAAAAGAGGAAGTGAAGAAGAAGAAGATATGTGATGAAGTAGAATATGTCATTCGTACCGCCCCTGGACTAAAGGCGACAGGTATTGATGATCAACCAGGCCATCAAGGCAGCAGGAGAAACGGGCGCAATATGGTTAAAGAGAATATTTCAAGTGGCATGGGACAATCAAGAAACACCATCAGATTGGCAATCTGCTGTTATTGTCCAGCTATGGAAAATAAAGGAAGTAAGAGGGACTGTACTAATTACAGAGGAATATCGCTTGTCAGTCACACTGGGAAAATGTATGCTAAGATCATTGAAAAAAGGCTAAGACCATTGGTAGAGTATCAACTTTCAGAAGCACAGATGGACTTTCAACAAAACAGAAGTTGTACAGATGCTATTTATACATTGATACAACTATCAGAGAGAGCAATTGAACATGATAAGAATGTTTGTTGACATTCATAGACAAAAAAAAAAAAAAAATATATAAAATATGAAGAAAAGATTTAAAACCGAATGAAAAGTAGACCAAGAAAAAGCCTTTGATAGAGTCGACAGGAATATGTTGTGGGTATGTATGGGGGAAAAGGGAACCAGCCAACATCTCAGTAATATTTGCAAAAGCCTGTTCACATGTACATGTAGTAAATGCTGCATAAGATCGAAGGCAGGATTGTCAAGAACTTTCATAATGAACTCTGGTGTGCTTCAAGGCTGAGTACTATCGCCGCTTCTTATTATAACATACATGAATAACATATGTAAAATTTAATAATGAAGAAAATATTACAGAATTACTATTTGCCAACGACCAGGTACTCATAGTAAAAAGTATGGAATGCCTACATCATCATCATCAGGTGCCTTGCCGACTGGCGTGGGCGATCATGCCTCTCCATAATCTGCGATCTCCTGCAGCATGTATCAGTTCGTGTGCCGACACACCTCCATGCCATGCAACAAGACTGTCAAGCATCTTCTCTCGTTGTCTTCCTCTATCTCTCCTTCCACATATCTTTCCAGTGGTCACAACATGTTCTATTTTCCCTTTTCTCATAACATGGCCGAAAAATGATGACTGTCTCCTTCTGATGTCTGTGATAAGTTGTCTTTGGGCTCCCGCCTCTTTCAAAACCTCTTGGTTGCTCTTTTTGGCTGTCCAAGGTATTCTAAGCATTCTTCTGTAAAACCACATCTCCAAGGCCTCCAGAAATTGTTTGGCCTGCCTACCGATTGTCCAGGATTCACAGCCATATGTTAAAACTGGATGTATGTAGCAAGCAAGAATTCTTTTTCTAACTGTCAGTGACAAGGATATATTGCACAAGATGTTTTTCATTTTATAAAATGCAGTTTTTGCCTGTCCTATTCTATTTCTTATCTCAGTTATGCATCTTCCATGTGCCCAGATACTTAAATTTCTGTACTTGTCCTAAAATAACACCATCAACTTTTATTACACATTTAGGAATAATTCGTTTCTTTGATACCACCATTACTTCTGTCTTCCCATTATTCAAGCTGAGGCCCATTCTTCCACTTTCTAACACCACAATGTCTATAATTTCCTGTAGTTCTTTCTGACTTGTTGCTATCAAGACTGTGTCATCAGCATAACGTAAATTGTTTATATTGTGCCCACCAACTACAATCCTGGGCATACCAATTAAAGCTCTCATTATATATTCACTGTATATTGAAAACAAATCAGGTGACAGTACACATCCTTGTCGTACGCCCCTCTTTATGCTTTCAAATGTACCTAAACAGTTGTTAATTCTTATAGCTGCTGTTTGCTGCCAATACATATTCTTTATTATTCGTATATCTTTCCCATCAATGTTTAATTTTTCTAACAGTTTGATTACTTCTTCATGCTTCACACAGTCAAATGCTTTTGTATAGTCTATGAAGCATGTGTACAAATAAGTCTTTACTTCTATAGCTCTTTCTGACAATGTCCTTAGGATGTATATGGCAATGTTTGTACCTTTTACTTCTACAAATCCACATTGTTCATTGCTGATTTCTGGTTCAATTTTGTTTCTTATTCTTCTCATAATTATTCTCAGTAAAATCTTAGTCATGTGACTCATAAGGCTTATTGTGCGATGGTCTTCACATTTTATAGTGCCTGGTTTCTTAGGCAGAGCTATAAATATGGATTTTAAAAGATCATTTGGAATATACCCACTATTATAAATATCATTTAAAAGTTTAGTTATTATTTCAATTCCAAAATCTCCCAGTGCTTCGATTTCTTCCTGTAAGATGTCTGGCCCGGGTGCTTTTCCTTTCTTCATATGATGTATTGCATCCTCAACTTCTGCAGTCATTATTGGTGGACCATCGTTGTTGGTCCGCAGTTCTACATCTGGTCTATTATCATCATACAATTCCCCTATATACTCTGTCCATCTGTTAATTATATTACTATGTCCCATTAATAAGTCACCATCTTTTGATTTCAGACATCCAGTGCTGTTACGTGGCATCTTTCCTGTTAACATATTTATCTGTTGGTACATTAAATGTGAGTCTTTCCTGTTGTTTTTCCCAATCTCTGTACACATTTGATTCAGCCAGTCTTCTTTAGCCACTTTGCATTTTTTCACTATTTCTTTTTGTATTCTAGAGTATTCTTCTTTGTCATTCTTTTTCTTCCTTCTTTCATCCATCAACTGCAGAATTTCGGTTGACATCCATTTCTTTTTTGCAACACTATGGATTGGTGGGATTGTCTCTTTAGATGTCTGCTGAATTGACTCACGCAACATATCCCACTGTTCATCAATAGTCTGTATAATTTCCATTGCATTATACCGGTTTTGTACAGTGACATTGTACTGGTCCTTAATTTCTTTATCTGTTCTAAGAATTCCTAAATTTAACTTGATGTTCTGTGGTGTTTTTCTAATGTTCTTTAGTTTTATTCTAATTTTTCCTACAACTGGAACATGGTCACTAAAGCAGTCTGCTCCTGGTCTAGTTTTTGCTCCAACTAAGCTGCTCCTGAATCTTCTTGAAATCAAAATATAATCAATCTGATTGCGGACATTATCACCAGGACTTTTCCAAGTCCACAATCTCCGAGGATGGTGTTTAAACCAGGTGTTACCTATTATCATGCTGCGTGACTCAGCCTATGCTTTTAATCTGTCACCTTTCACATTCTTTTCTCCTAGGCCATAGCCACCCGTTATTCCGTTCACTTTTTCACTTCCTATTTTCGCGTTGAAATCTCCAAGTACCATTGTTACTTCACAATTTTTGCATTGATCAACAGCCATGTCTAACTCATCATAAAATGCGTCAATATCTTCCTCTGAACTATCTGCTGTTATGGCATAAATCTGTACTAAGTTGATGTCAGACGGTCTGCCGTGAAGTTTTACTAATAGTATTCTATCTGATATTGTCCAAAATCCTTTCACAGTTTTTGAGTTCTTTTGATCCAAAATAATACCAACTCCCTTACTATATTCCTTCCCACCCGAGTAAATAATTCTGTACTGATCTGAATACTTTTCACCTGCTCCTGGCCATCGCATTTCACTAATTCCTAATATGTTGATGTTCATTCTTTTCATTTCCATCTTGATGTTATCCAACTTTCCGTTTTGTACGAGGGAATGCCTACAGAACCACCTAAATCAAATTAGTAACAAAGGGGAGGAATATAATATGCAAAGACAGGGACAGTGGTGATAGGAAGACAGAAAGACAATTTAGAAATACAATTAAAAAACAACACCTTAAGACTGGACAGAAAAATTAGCTCGAGATGTACCAAATCAAGTAATGGGGCAACCATCTTCCCTGTTGACACACAAGCAGATACCCCGGAGTACTTTAGGGAATCTTATCAGAACTATCTTTTGGCCAACGCTAAGCTATCAGTGTCAAATGTGGACACTTACATCCTCCAATGAACGTAAAATTGTGACAACAGAGATTAAATACCTTAGGAGTTTCAAGGAAAGACAGAATACGAAATCATATGAATGCTAGGAATAAAGCCAGTTTTACATGTCATCAAAGAACAACAAGTGAAGTGGTTTGGACACCTAAAAAGAATGCCCTGGTACTATCTGCCACAGCAAGCCACACTAAAATGTTAAAACAGGTATAGAGCGAGTGGAAGACCTAGGAAAATACAGAGTGATGGCATTAAGAACAGCCTTACAGAAATGAACATTAGTCTTAATAATGCTCTAGACAGAGCCCATCAACGAATGTCACATCGCCCCCGATACTTCGATGAGGTACATGGTTGAAGAGAAAAAGAACCCCCCGACACTTCGATGAGGTACAAGGTGGAAGAGCAGAAGAAAAAGATATGTGACACTTTTCACTTGTAAAAAAAATATAGGATAATAACATGCAGTGTGGGAAACAGATATAATGTAAATATTAGCAGCAGATGGTACCAACATTCATGTGTCACAGACAGCCGGATGTAGAGGTCAGGCAAACGTCTGAAGTTGTCTCACTGTTGTTATATTCTGTATCAATCTCAGAAACTTGTTTATGTTCGTTTTAGAATGTTTAGAATAATTCTCATAAGTAAATCCAATTCATTCACGCGATCAAATTTATACAAAAGTAGAAATGAAAGGGCAGATATGAATTATAAAGGAGAATGGTTAAAGATGAAGAAAAAGCAACCTACATGAACACATTTACACCTGACCGAATTTTGTTGTTTCTATTAACAGGAACTCTTTGACAGAAATCAGTGTTCTTTATGATGTATTAAACATTGTTAAAGAGAAACACTACATGGTTACTGATCCTGTTTCTCAAGATCCCCCTGAACTGAAAGCTTCATTGCAAATGTTGGCAAAGAAAAAGGTAATGCCTAGACACTTGTATTTTAAGGAAATTTTATCTTTCATTGTCTACTTCTTATAATCATGATCTCACTTTGCTCACTCTTATTTAGTTTAACTGTCACTAATTTCATCCTTCTTTTGCAAACACCTTTAAACTTTGATCATAGACATTTGAGAATGTCTCCAACAATCAGAAGCAACCTGTGTCACCCTCCTCTATGCTAGTTGACAAGAACTTAAAACCCGTAACTGCTGCCTCTCTGTTTCCGAGACCAGTTGAGGTCAGGGATAAAGTTCATACTCTCCATAGTGCAGAGTTTGAGCAGTACTGTAGAGACCATATGCTGCCCATGCATCATGATCCCTCTCTTATTTACTCGAAAGGTAACACCAATATGTTTGGAGCAGAGGATGCCAGATAAAAAGAGCTGTCTGTCTGCATGTCAGAGCTTCCATCCTGGACCAGCTGCCAACCAAGGCTAAAGGCCTGGTCTGCCCTGCCATAACTTGAAGATTGCAGGTTGCATTTGCTCTTCCTAGGATAAGGCTAGTATCCTCCCCAATGCTCTCCTCCGCCTGAAACTGTTGGCACAATGTGGAATGTCATGTTGGTTGCCAAACATTCAGTGTTACCTGAAAACAGGTAGTACCGACTATTGTTATGCAGTAGCAGTCATATTTAACAAAGACCTGACAAAATAACCAACTAACTGAAAATACAGAATTACTACACAGAGGGAATTAAATGGTATTACAGGACATTATTATGGAGCATTGGGAGATAGCTGGGACAAAATCCACTGAATCAAAAGATGAAGAAAAATGTGTGGAGGGTTACCTGAAATGATGACAGGGAATAAGATTACTTGGGGTATAGGGAAAGGGAGGATGTTGATTGAGAGCCTATGCTCCATTCAGGGATCAAAGGTTCCAGTAACTAGAAACATGATTGTATTATAACAGTGAGTTTCCTATCAAGCTTGATTGAATACAGTGAGCTACAAAAATCTTTAACTCATCATTAGACTCCTTCCTAAACATCACAGTCCACCATTGAATATTGCATCATCAGTTTTTGTCTCGTCTGTCAGAGTCTGGTAGCAGCAGCACAACTTCTCTCAACTGGTGCTGAACGTCTCAAAAGGGTCCAGGTTGAAATGACATCCAACACACAAGACAATTTCCTCATGGAGCTTCTGAAGCTTCGTAGGAATTGGAGGTTGAAAAAAGTACACAACACAATCCTTGGAGAGTTGAGTTACAAGTCTGGTGGGTGGATTTGTTTTTTTTGTATGTATGGAATAGTTGAGTGGGTTAGGTTGTAGCTAAATGTAGCAGGTGCTGGGTTAGCCTGTTGTGTAAGTGTGGCAGTTAAATGGGATTGTCTTTTCTGTAAGTATGGCAGGTTGGGTTTGTCTTTTGTATACATGTGGCAGGTGGGTCTGTTTGCCTGTTGTGTAAGTGTAACAGGTGGGTTGGTTTGCCTGTTGTGTAAGTGTAACAGATGGGTTGGTTTGTCTATTGTGTAAGTGTAATAGGTGGGTGGGTTTCCCTGCTGTGTAAGTGTGGCAGGTGGATGGGTTTGTCTTTTGTACACATGTGGCAGATTGTGTAATTGTAGCAGGTGGGTGGGTTTGCCTGTTGTGTAAGTTTGGTGGGTGGGTTTGCCAGTTGTGTAAGTTTGGTGGGTGGGTGGGTTTGTCTTTTGTATACATGTTGCAGGTGGGTGGGTTTGCCTGTTGTGTAAGTGTGGTAGGTAGGTTGGTTTGCTTGTTGTGTAAATGTGGCAGGTGGGTGGGTTTGCCTGTTGTATAAAGGGGGAGGGGCAGATAGGTTGGTTCTGTCTGGATACAAATAAGCCGGACCTGCCTAGATACAAATAAACTGAATCTGTCTGAATACAAATAAGCCCAATCTGAATACAAATAAGCTGTGTATGTCTGGATACAAATAAGCCGTGTATGTCTGGATACAAATAAGCCGGGTCTGTCTGGATACAGATAAGCCAGGTCTGTATGGGTATAAAAAAGCCGAATTGGGATACAAAAAAGTCGAAATAATAATACGAAAACAGAAATAAAAAAATAAATGCAGCAATCTATCAGCTGTCATCTTTGTTAGTAGATTTGAAGATTAAGATGAAATAAAGTGCCACATGATAAACAATATTTCTCTTCCAACACTTTACTGTCAGTGTCAAACTGGATCCCTTTGAACATCCTGCAAGAGAAGGTTTATCACATATAAGGTGAAATACTGGAGAGAAGTCTTTTTGGTTTCCTGAAGGGAGAATGAGAAAAATCAACACCAGAAATAGGATATTTATAACATAATGCACAAGATTCATTGAGAGACAATGAACAGTATGCGATTTAAACATCAGTTAGAAAAAACCTGGCCAACTACTGATAAAACCATAAAATAAGACAATTTCAACCAGAGAATGGCACAAGAAAAATGTTGCTATTTTCACCACAACCTTGGTATACTGGAATGTATGCTTAGGTTCCCCATATCCCTTCAGTTATTGGCCAGCATGGATTAGGAAAAGAGACATTCCTTGGGATAAGATAATATGTAACACAATATGTTTCATCTCCAGGTATAGGAACTTGCTGACACGATACTGACCACATCACTTAAGTGTCGTTTAGTCAGACAATATGGACGTGTGAATCAAGCATCTTATTCCCATAATAGAAACCCATTCCTTTTGTAGAAAATTTGTATAATAATATAGTCAGTCGAAAAGTTGGTTTAGTGTATTAAGAATGTAGGCTGTATTTATAAGGAGCATTTATTTTGAAACTCACACCATTATTACAAAATAATGAGAGAAACATCAACAAGGGTGGCAGAATTGGAAGGAAAATAGCATTCGTGTGGAATAAAATATGCACTATCGTATGGTCAGAAAAAGTCGCCAAAGGTATTTAGGCAAATATCCCATTAACTAGGTTGCAAATGCCGCCCACACAAGGGTTGCTCATTGAACCAAGTGTTCACTGCATTCCTCCATTTGGTGGTTTGTCAACATTCGTGGGACCCACTTTAAGCACATCTTCCAAAATTGCATTTTCTTACAACCTTTTCAACTGTCGCAGTTGACACATCAGATTCTTTCACTGCCGAACATATTTTTTTCACCAATGGTTCACCCGTATTGCTGCGTCAGTTTTGGCAATGATTTTTTTTCTGTTGCAACAGTATGCACTTGTCCTGGCTCCAAAAGATCAGTCATGAATCCATTTTCTTTTCTAAAACATTTGTGTCCAGTCTGTCACTGTTGTCTTCAAAACACATTTGTTACCGTATGCTTCCTGCATTCTTCGATGAATGTCTACTGGTCATTTCACTTCATCTGAAAAAAACAACAACTGAATTTGAGCTTCTTTGGATCAGCCTGGCCATTTTCTCAGCAGTCTGAAATGGAACCTGTGCATCATGGGATGATAAGCATGTGCTCTTTTATTCATTGGTCACGTGCAGCTCGAACGGTTAACAGATGAACGCTGTTTCAAATAATAACCCACACATGCCAGTTGGTAAGGGACTTAAAGTGATATTTCATTATTGTGTGAATATTGTATATGGTAAGTCTGGACTATTTTGCTGTATGTTTATAAATAGGGTAATGTGTAGTATGTAATGTCCAACTCTTTCATACAAATCTTGTGTTAAATTTATTGCCACCATGTAGACACAGGTTTAAAAGTTAAAATTTTACATTTAACAGCTGGCTCAAGATTCTGGCAAGGTGGTACATTTGAAGTTTTGAAAACATCTGATCTGGCTGCTGATGGTGAAGTTGCTAGCCGCAAAAGCAGTTTGGATGTTAGTATCCCTAGTGAACTAGAAGGAGTGGCCTATATCCAAGTAGAAGTAAAAACTGTTTCAGGTAATAAAACTATGGCTGTTGTCAAAGCTTAAAATTAAAATATATCATGTGAGTACATAATTTCGCAGTTTACCTATTCTCTTCAGGATCTTATTTTAGTTGAGTTTGTCCCACCTAGATTGGGGCGTGAAGTATTAGGCCGTTACATATTCTAGAAATCATAATGGGGGTGGGGGCAATTCCTTTTTTGTTTAGCAGTGCTTCCTTGTGAAAATTGTCTGCCTTGGGTCTGAGTTGAACCTGGAGTCGTGCTGGTGGGAGCAAATAGTCCTGCCTCTGCTGGGAACTGAATCTGAACCACTGTCTTGACATTGACCACTGTGCCACCTTGGCTCCATTTTTCCAGTAGTTGATCTCTTTTCCTACAGATATTGGCAAATAAATTATGAATAAATAGTCATTTTCCACTTGTGGGTTCTGGGCCCTATTATAGGGAAAACAAGAATAGACCCACTGTCTACCCAAAAGCGTGTCGTAAGAGCTGACTAATTGGGAGCTTTCTTTGAAGCCTGAGAACATCTGCCGGAGAGGCAAGGAACTATCAGCCTGTATACAAATGAGTCAGATCTGTAAAACGGATGCATATGCAACACTCAGGTTCTGGAACAGGACTGCAGTCCAGAAATTGTCACCAAAGTTTACAGCTTGTGAACGTGAAGAAGAAGAAGAATCATTTGAATGTCACTCCTTCTGTTATTAAAAAATTATGGTTTAAATTTAAATCTGCTGAGCACTGAAAGTGAAGAAAGTCATGGGTTACACACAAACCGATTTGCGCGGCCTAGGGCATGGGAAAATCGGTGGTTCAAAGCAACGGCCAAAAAAGCAGAGACATGGTAATAAAGCAGATAAAGGACGCTGAAAACAAGACTTGAGTCCAAAAAGCAGCCTAACAGTCGCAGCAAGGCCAGTGGATCGGCCTCGAAGCCGCCTTGTCACAAATGCTCACATGGGGTGAGATCTGGCGGATGGCCCAACGATGTGTTGTCCTCTGGGGTCAGCATGGTGAAATGGCATGCAACTACCGATTCGACATACCTACTGTGCAGAGCTAAGCAGATGCACATACTGACCGCGTGCCAGGGACAATATACATAGCGCCACAATAAAGTCCTGAAAGAGTTAGTGGACATTGTTGACCACGCCAGGATGAGGGCTAACATGAGGCCCGGTCCTACCATCACCCTCCCACTCCCCACCCCCACCCTTTTCCCTATGCACTTCCTCAAGGCTGTGGGTAGATTTCTAAAGGTAAAATCAACAAGGTTGCATACGCTCCAGAAGACCAGCCTAAGACCAGACATAGTTTTTTGCACGCTATGAAAAACGCCAGCTTATCCTGGTAGAGTGACCATGCTGTATGTTACAGAAGAAAATCACCTGTACAAGCTCAAAAGGTACGGTAGGCTCGTGGCCATTCTGAAGAGAGAGAAGCGTATTCAGTCAAAATCTTCGCCATCGAATCATCAATTCATCATGTCACTTGGTGACTATCTTTTTGTTGATCATTGGGGATCAGTTTCAAATGCAGTCGATGTTGATGGCTGGGTCAGATGGTCTTGCTTATGGCCAGAAGTGCACATGTCCGTCAGCTTGCCATGAAGATAACCAAACTCACAACTCACACATTTCAAAGTCATCCTTACTACCAGTCGAAAGAAATTCCATTAATTCTTCAACGTCAGTTAACCAGTTTTCTTGCCATTTTGTATTTGAAAATAAAATGCACACTAATGCAAAACCAGAAATATGCTTCAGGGCAAAAAGTACACAGTTCACTGACCAAACAAAGCACAGGATAACACAGAACACATATAAATACACCTAAACACACCTGATAGGGTTTTAAATCATATATAAACGTGTTAATTGGGTCTGACATTGGGTAATGTGTATGTATTGCCATTTCACCCCCAAGAAGAATGGTCCTTACCAGTCCGTAGAAAAAGTCAAAATTGTGTTTTTACGTTCATAGCGGTGAGAGCACAGAAATACGTTCTTAGCAGTCTACAGGGAAAACATATAATTATACGCCCATAGCTGTGAATGGGTTAACCCCCTCCCTTGAGGTACCTGCCAACTACCATTATATCACTTCATAGCAGACAGTTACTGACACCCCCCCCCCCCCCCCCCCATCAAACATAAGTGGGTTTATTTGGTTTTCCCAGTCAGTGACAATAAAAGGTGTGAAAAATCAGCCAACTGTGGAGGCACAGTGTTTGGACTTTCTTACCTGCCAGACTTATTTCCCTTGATTAGTGGTTTCAGAGGGCAGGACTTTTTTCCTGGTTATGTAAGAGATGTCACGCCTCCTGTTTCCCCAGGTGGACTGGCAGGTAATCTTGTGTAATATGTGGCCAGTACTAGTTTCTTTGTCTGGTCTGAAAACAGTTTTTAACCTCACATGGTTTTAGTGCTTGGGCCTAGTGTATAGCAAATTTAATTCTTTATTTCTTTTTGGAAGAAAAATATTAATTAAATGCAGTACATTCTGAAATAACTGGTAGTTTCGTCACAGTTAAGAGACTCTGAAATTGCTTTAGTCACAGAACACTATGTAGACTTGGAAGCCATAGGGTAAACGGCCACTGTATCTACCCAAGAATATGCCTGTGAGCGAATCACAAATGTGGAATGGAAGAGTGAAATATACAGACACTTTATGCCGGTCTCCACACTGAGTAATCTGACATATCTTGACATGACATACTGTAAACATGACAAATGCATTTAAATGGCAGACTTGATGGACTTGACAAGTGCTACACTGAAAATGCCAGCCGGCTTGGGAACAGTATCAGCTGATGCTTACTGGCAACAGAAGCTGGAGGTGGCCCAGAATGTTCTGTTTTGCAAGGAATTGTTTGCTCAGGTGAGATTAATGATGTTAATTGTTTGTAAATATCTCTTTTTTTTTTCCTGTTACTGCCCTGTCTGGGCAAACGTTTGTAACCTTGACCTTCTGTTTCTCTTTTCTGTTTAAAAAAAAAAACCACTATCATATTGCTTCTGTTTCTTTCTTAAACTGCTGAAATTTTCTTTGTGGATGTTACATATGTGAGGTCACTATGGTAAATCCATGTGAAGAATGAAGTCTAGTTCCTTCCATTCACTTTCTTGTATGCAAAGAAATTTAATACAGAAGACTGTCAACTGTCTGGCTCACGACTATCTGGCCTCCTAACTATCCAGCCTGGTTTACCGATTTTTATAGTTTTACTTTTCCAGGGTGTTAGTAGCAGGCATCTGTTACAACTTTCCTATGTCCCATGTGCATAATGCAAGTTGATATGTTGAAAGTGCAGATTTACTCCACCCTGCTGTCTACCCTTCACTTTATCAGTTGTAGGTAGGTAGGTAGGTAAGTTGTACCACACCAGGACATCACACAAGCGATAAACACCCAGTGATACAAAGTTCCATCATGTGCATGAGGATCACCCATGGCGAGGTCCTTCTTCTTCTTCTTCTTTTTTCTTCTTTCTTCTTTCAGCCGTTAGGCTATGTTTAACGCCCAGCTATATTTAGGGCCCCGGCAAAATCCAGGGTGGGGCTTCAGAACAACTAAAAAAATAACATTCCACATAGGGACAAGTGTTAGTGTTTATCAGTTATGTATCGAATGTCAGCAAGTGTAGAATACATTTGCTACTGTTCCTAGTTACGTTAGTAAATTGTTGAACGGGGCCCTTTTTTGTTTTTAAATTAAAGATTACGAAATGGGTAAAAATGAAAAAAAGATTCGGTATTCACCAGACTACCATAATTGGGGATGCTTTATCTGCTGATATAGAGGTTTTACCTTTGTTCAGTTGCTATCTTTTTTTTTTAAGCTTATTTAAAGAGATAATTTCAGGGGAATAGTTGAACAACGACATTGAGACTGGTTTAGACTTTTAGATGCTTCTTACCAAAACACTTTCATAAAATGGCTTTCTTTAATGCAACCAGCAACCACAAGCTTATGTAAACATTGACACGAAAAATCAAAGATAACTTAGATTATATCCAATTGAAAAATCATGTATCACTATCCCTATTTTACACACATCCAAAGAAAGCATGGTTAAATTAAAAAACCATTAAAATTTGGTTTGAAAATGAATTTGTCTTAACTAGAAAAAACATTTCCAAGACAACAATTTGCAGGATAAAGCTGAGCTACTTCTTGAAATGCACCTTCTCGACTGGCTACAGATGAACTCACACATAGAGACATCTAAGCTTTATGTTTACCACCCAATGTGATGGCTGTTTCAGCCGATGGACCAAGGCAACCTTGAAATACTAAAAAAAAAAATATTGTCAGCATCTTCTCTGTTTAATATAAATGATTGACACAAATGAAGACTGTGTAATTTCAGCGACTCTGAAAAAGATTGACATGCTAGAAACATAAAATGGGTGGCCAAAACGTTTGGGAAAGGGGGGGGGGGGGTCCAAACATATAATTTGTAAAGACTTGGAAAATTCTTTTGGACCATGCATATGGACATTTCAACTGTGAAACAGAATTGGAGGATAAAAACTTGTTTGCTTGCTATAAAATGTAATTTGCTGTGATGATGCCGGTATAGAGGATATTATAGAATGGATGGCAAATGACAAATTTGATGAATCAGTTGACAACGATATTGTGGAAATAGTGATTCTGGGTGAAGTAATGGAAGATGACAGGAACAAAAAATCACACTTACTAAACAAGCTAACAGTGCATTAATGCCTTTGAATACAAATCTTATGGACGGGTTCAAAGAATATAATGGGTAAAGAAAAGAACAAATACATCCATACTTCAAGAAATGAATACTGAAGAAGGTCAGCTAATAAGGACGATAAAACACAGAAAATGTAATTTTTTTTGGGGTCACTTGAAACGTCACAAAAGTTTAGAGAGAACAAAAATGTAGGGGTATATGCCTGGGAAGAGAGGTAGAGGACGGCCAAAGAGAAGAAGGATGGGGTGCAGGATGTGGCAGATGATCTCCAGATGGGTGTATCGGACGCGGGACATCCTGCTTGTGGTCGAGAAGTTTTCCAGAAGTCTGTTATTGGAGAAAGGTTCTGAATAGGACATGCTACAGACTGACTGACATTTTTGTTTATTAACTTGTATTTCTTCTGACATTGTTCTGAAGGGCCATAATCTATGTTACATTTGCAGGCAGTCATTTGATAGCAGTCTGAGTCCACCTATCACAGATGGAATCCCAGCCTGAATTTAATTCACACTTTACTCTGTTCTTTCATCTTGCTTAATTCTTGTTTCTTAAAAGTAGATTATAACAGAAGAAATTTAAAATGTCACACATTAAGGGAATAAAAAAAAGTCTTAAGGAGACTGGTCCTAATAGAGCAGAAGGCAAACAGTATTCAGAGCCTGGAAACAAAACAACAATAAGAACATGCATCATATATATTTAGATTATCTATATTGTGACATAAAGAAACAAAAGGGCACAAAAGTTAAAAAAACCAGCAACCAGTAAAGCAATAGAGCGGGCCAGGGACAACATTTATTTACAAAAAAAAAATAGATTTAAACAGATCTGTGCCTCCATTAAATGAGGGCTTAGACAACTGGGAAATGAAAGGATGACAAAGTTTCATGACCACCCCAAGGACTGATATACAAGAGGAATAAAGGAATGAATAATTTTCATCAACTCTGTGACTAGACTACCACGTATTACTGCACACAGTGCCCTGCACAAATATGAAGTGTTAGTGACGCATAACAGCTGTAAATGGAGAAAGAGGAGATGGCACATTTAATTATGTATGAAAGTATATTTCTCTTCACTAAATGTGTGTTATTTATTTCACTGAATATAGCTGGCTCGGGAGGCAGTGCAAGTGAAGGGTACCACCCCACATATGGTTGTGGGTAATCAAATACTTACAAATGTGAGTAAACATATTCATAACGTACTGGCAAAGAGCAACAACGACATTGTATTAGCAGAAATAATCATCACGAGCTTTGCACAAATGTGATCTTGATGTTGTAGAGATTCCTGATCAATTTTATTGATGGTATACCTCCACGCGACTGTCTCATTCCATCCAGCATATTGTGTCTCACTCTTAACTTGTTTTCTGCTGCTAATCTTTGTCATGATATTTTGCGGTGCCCCTCTTCTCATCACATGGCCATATAACATTCTCTCTCTCTTACAGTTGTATTAGTTAGTTAGTTGACAAATTATCCTCATTGCACATTCAACCATTCAGTCCATAGTCTTACAGTTGTGTGTTATGTTCAAGTAAATGTGTGTGTGTATACCTGTGAAAAAAAAAAAAATATATATATATATATATATATATACACACAGTGGTACCTCGCTTAATGAGCATAGTTCGTTCCAGAATCATACTCGTTAAGCGAAACACTCGTTATGCGAAACAATTTTTCTCATATAAATTAAAGTAAAATACGATAATGCGTTCCATGTCGAAAAAAATACTCACAAAATGCTACGTATAACATTTATTCAAAGAAAATTATATACATATTGTTAAGGAGAGTGAATCATCTTCATCTTTTCCTCGAACGCGGAACGAACCTACCTGGAATGCAAATTCGATTTACAGAAAAAAAAGTCTAAATAATTATGATACATAGCTAATTATTTTTTTTTTTTACGTATCCAGAAACCATGAGTTGTAAACCCTTTGGCTCGGTACTATGGATATCGCAACCCTTCGGCCTTGATTCCATTATAGGTACCATTAATCTGGGAGAAATGTGGCTTTTCTGCCCACCCCCGGGAGTGAACCCGGACCACAAGGAGTTCCTCACCCGGCCGCCGCGAAAGTCAGGTTTAACCAACTTCGCTAGAGAGCCAGGATTTTTTTTTTTTTTTTTACTAGACAGATGTCCAGAGACATTTGTTTTTGCAGACGCTTCAAAATTTGGTGAAAATGCTACACAGCATTATCATTAAATAAATTTGCAACGCGCATAGCCGCTTCCTTATTAGGGTGATGCTTCTCAATGTATAATGCAACAGTTTGCCATGCTTTCAGCGTTTCTCTTATTTCGCCAGAAGATTGTTGCTTTTCTGTTACCTCCTCCTCCTCCTCTGAAAAACTTTCTCCCAAATCTTGGCTGTGCTCTTCCACAAGCTCTTAGATATCACTGTTATCCACCTCTAATCCCATGATAGTGGCCAAAGACACAATCTCGTTGACTACAGGTTCCACAGGTACTGTCTCGAACCCCTCAAAGTCACAAATCGACAACGCTCTCCGGCCAAAGCTTCTTCCAAGCAGAAGTTAGGGTTCTCTTGGTAACCCTCCCACCCCCACTCCCCGCCTTGTCGATCATCTTGAGGCAGGCAACGATGTGGAAGTGGTTTTTCCAAAACTCTTTGAGAGTGAGGTTGGTCCCTTCAGTCACCTGAAAACAATGCTTGAAGAGTGCTTTAGTGTAGAGCTTCTTAAAGTTAGAAATAACTTGCTGGTCCATGGGCTGGAGTAACGGAGTGGTGTTGGGAAGCAGAAACTGGATCTTGATGAACTTAAATTCTTCAGAGAGGTCATCTTGTAGGCCTGGAGGATTCACGTACATTTATCACAATATAACACAAGTTTGAAAAAACGTGTGATCACAAGCGACACTACGATGCTACTGGAACGAGTGCTAAACATAGACTGATGTAACATGTGCACAATTCGGGACTTCTCTTCTCCTCGCCATTCGTTGTGCGAAACGTCGCTCGTTAAGCAAGTCATTTTTTAACAATTTGTTTTGCTCGTTATGCGAATTACTCGTTATGAGAGGTGCTCGTTAAGCGAGGTTCTACTGTATATAATTTGCTTTCACTGACTTCATTCTTAGTTTTCAAACCATTGTAAAGATGTTAACTTACATTTAAACACTTTCAACATTTTTTATGATAAAATATTTATTCTGTCATGGTGGCATAACAGCTAGATGCTCACCTGCAGGGTGAAGGTCTTGGGTTTGAGTCTGTACCGTGTTGGATTTTAAAATAAAATGACCATGCTTCCTAGGCTGACATACCCTAAAATGGGTACCAGATAAAATTTTGTCGTCAGATCTATACAAATATGAGTCTTGCATCATTTGTATCATATGTTTAAGGCACCTCTGGCGTAATAATTTTTAGTTTACTACTTTACTGACTCTTAGCTGGTGATGATAATGGTAAATGTCACTGAGGGCATGCAGTTTATCATCATCGTCATTATAGTCCATTTCCACTTTGACCATAAAGCGTCATAGGGAGGAGAGGTGAGGGGGGAAATAAATTGCATTCCATTGCTCAGTAGCTAGCACTGGCTATTGTCATTCCATATCAGTGTAAAATGTCTTTAAAGTCATCCATCCATGTTTTCCTTGGGTGCCCTCTTACCTCTTGCTTTCATGCTCGATCTTAGGTGTAGATTCTGGATCAGTAGTTGCCGTGACTAGTCTAGTGAAAAGACAGGTCAATTTAATCTTTTGCTTATCGCCGAATTTAGTGCACAGCATCGTTCCCACAGTCTATCTAACGGTATCATTTCTCACTCTTTCGGAGGCTTTCCTCAGGCATCTCATCGGTTGAATGTTGAATTAGGGACCAACATCATAGCACTTGGGACCCCCCCATAAGCGCTCCGTCCCCATCTTCAGCAGCAAACGAAGAGTTAGACATCTTCTCTAACGTATGTTAATTTTGCACAGGTTGGCCTTTGATAATGTTCAAGTTTTGCACCGGAGACACTCTGTATGAATATGCTGTTTAAAATCTGTTTCTTGGTCGCCATACTAATGTTCGGATATCTGAATAACAGCATTAGTTGGTACAAAAGTGAACTAGCTCATTATCATGCAGTTATGACTGAAAGTCATTAGTTGACTTTTATGGTTAACTGTTTTCTGATTTTTACACCTTTTTGAGTACATAACATTGGTGATAATTTAGTTTAGGATATGAAGATTGAATAAAATATTTAAATCGGATCATCTTTTTCGATCATTTATTTTCCTGATTTTCAGTTGTGAAATCTGACATGTCATACCAAAATGATCATAACATCCAAAGTATTTAAATTAAATGTTTCAAATAAAGACTAGCTGATACATCATTGAACAGAGAAGGCATGTGAATTCTTAGAATTATATAGCAGTTTTGTTGAACAAGTAAAATAGGAAGGTAAGCACACAATTTGTGTGTTAATAATCTTCATATGTGTCTAACACACTTGAATTTTCGGTGATTTTAATAATATTTTGTTTCAATACTGACACTTAAATAGTTTAGATTTATTCTACACTCATTTATTTCTAATTTGATATATGTCCCGATACAGCCAGTACTTTTTTTTTCAAGAAAGTTTTAGCTTTGTCATGTTGCAGTAAAAAAAATTCTGCTTAAAATTAATGCTGTCCAAACCCCAATAAAATACATGGTCCTGAGAGTTAATATGGCAACTTATAGTGGTTGAAATATAATAAAAACTGATTTTCTTAGCAACTTGTGGGCTATGAGGGAGCTTATGGACTTCATTGTTTGCCTGTTCAACCCCCTGGATTCATATAAAAGCTCACATAAGACTAAAAAACTTCTTCTGCTTCTTATATTGCCCTGTTTGCTTAGGGTAGAGTTTCAGAGAATTATAAGGATATATTTATAAAGATTCTTACATTGCAAAATGGTTATATCTTCTGTATTCATATGTGGTTGTGTGCATTGTTAAAGTACAGCACTTTTCCCATTATTCACACTTCAGTAGTGTTTTTGTTTCAGGTGTTTCCAGGCATTCAGTTGTCGATTGTACTTTGTCACTACACAGGCAAGGAGAAGAAGGTAATTGACCTATTGATATTGCTGTCAGCAAATGATGGGTTATAATTGAAATGAGTCTCTGGAGTGGTGGCTACACAGAAGAAGTTGTCATATTCATGGTAACAAACACACCACACAAACAGTCAAATCGAGAGTTTCTGGAGATTTTGCGAATAAAAAGAGAATCGCAGGAAGAAATAACAAGGAAAAGGACAGTTGAAATATTTCAGCAACATTAAAAGACATTACACTTTTTTAAATGGTTCGCTGCTATAGACATAATTTTACCCCCTGCTAAAGATGTAGTTCTGGGTCTTTGGCTCACTGCTAAAGACACAAAAACATGATTTCGACTTTTCTTACAGATTGCTAAGGACTGTAATTCTCAGGGGTGAAATTGCAATACACATTACCTAAATCTGATAAAATTGGCACATTTAAATACAATTAAAATCCTTATCACTTGCGTTTAGGTGTATTTAGATGCGTTCCACATTACCCTGTTACTTTGATTACTAAAGAAGCGTGGTCGATGAACTGTGTTTTCTTCGCCCTAAAATATATTTCTGGTTTTGCATTAGTCAATTTTTTTTTAATGTACAAAATAGCAAGAAAATTGGTTAATTAAAGTTGATGAAGAATTAATGGAGTTTCTTTCAAGAAGAAATAGTAGGCATCACTTTGAAATGTGAGAGTTATGAGTTAGGTTATCTTTACGGCATGCGGCGGATATGCATACTTCTGGCTGTGAGCAAGACTGACCATCTAACCCAGCCATCAGCATTGACTGCATTTGAAAAGATCCCCATTGATCAAGAAGAGGATATGGCTATGTACTGACATGATAATATTTCTTCTATACTGTACAAAAGACATGAATGTATCTGTCTAACACAGTGTACAAATCTGGTCCTATTTTCAGTTCACATTTTCATATGAATTTCTAGTGTAGTTGGTATCACATCTGCCTTACAGTTTAAAGGTCCTAAATTTAACCCCTTCGTGACTTTTAAAAAGAGTGTTAATTTTAAATTTCAGCTCTTAGCACTTTCAGCAGCAGATCAACAAAGTATAAATTATTAAATAACACAGGGAATACAGTGATTCAAGTGGTAGCCGCGGTAGATTTATGGATCAGATCGGGGTGGGTGGGGGGGGGGGGGGGGAATTGCCAGCAGTGCGAATTATAATTATAATTGCTAGGATTCTCCTAGACCAGTTCTTCCATTAAATGATTCATGAAAATTCCCACCCAAGTGATGTGATTGTATATACAGATGGCTCTGTGTTGAGGGGTTCATAGCGAAGGCGAATGGAGGACGCTTGGTGCAACAAAGCCTGGAATATGATATCACAACGACTAGTTTGAGAATGGAAGTTGAGGCAATCACTAATGCCTTCTGCTGGCTTGAGAATCAGCTGTACACACATGTCGTCATTGTAACTGACTCACAGAGCATGCTGAGACAGGCATGCTTTGTGCAGAGTGGCAAGCATCACTTCAGAGGTCCAGGGTAGTTAGCATCCTTTGGATATTTTTTCCAGGTAATGCTGGTATGTTGGGAAATGAGCAGACAGAAAGACTGGCTGGTTCTGCACCACTTGGTGGTGAACTGATGTATGACAAGCTGGATGTTGTGAGGGCCCTTTGGGAGTGAGTGAACAGTGCTGAGGAACAGATAAATCATTACGGTCTGAGGAGAATGGCACTGCGAGGAGTTACAAGGGGATCTGGCCGACGCTCGACACTCAGGGGAAAGGTGAGACGGATATACAATCAGACAGTTACTGGTACCATCAGAATTTAAAATCTTCGCTTGCTGAAGATGGGGACGGAGTGCTTATGGGGGGGGGGGGGGGGGGTCCTGAGTGCTGTGATGTTGATTCTTAATTCAGCATTCAACAGTCCATTAAGCACCCCTCTTCCCCGGTGTAAGTCAGAGGAATGGGCCAAGGGACGGTAAGAGCTTCGGATGCACTCGGGGCAATGACTAAACACATGGCAACGATTGAGAAGATAAAGTAGAAAAGGAAATAAAAATTGTCTTGCAGTATCCACCTGCAAGGAATATAAAGCGGTTAAAACATTCAAAGAATGTTCCTGCTGACTATCAGAAGGCTACTGCTGTGTTCGCTTCTCTGTGGAGTTTCTACTACATATACAGTTGCGGTGGAGAAGAAGAAAAGTATACTTGGTAGAGGATACATTTTCTTTCACTATCCCTAAGGGAGCCAGGCAATTAAACCCACTTACTAGTGTTTCCTTTCGGTAAAGGCGAGGTTTCTTATCGTCGCCAAAGTGCATCTAACCTGTCAGCACTCAGGCCAACAACCCACTTTCCTACATTAAATATGTTAGGGTGTACAAAATTTAGCAAAACATCTTTTGTATTTGGGAGATAGAAAAGTATTCTGCACACAGGGAAGGATCAGCGGGGAATGAGCTTAGCACAGTGGTAATGTTGGCTGGCGTAGTACTTAGCAGCGAAAAGCTTAAAAATTCACACTGGAGGTGAAAAGTTGAATCCAAGAGGTAGACAGTGATAAAGATGAAAGAACAGTGTCATGAGATGCATGAACAGCACTCTTAATGAGAATACAACTAAGCCAAGAGACATAAACAGTTGGAGATCTATTGCAGCCAACCTTCATTGTGGAGCTGGCACCTGATGGATTAAGAAGATGGGTTTGTTGTTTGTTATTATCTAATTATGGATTAGAGAATCTTTGTATCTCTTGAGTTGAAATGTCAGTATGACTGTCACGTGTCACTCACCACAAATGTGAATTTTAGCAAGCCTTTAACTGTCATGTTTTTAATTTTTGGAAATACTGATCATTGTTTATACTTCATTGTTACCCGTGTGGGTGGCCACACTGTTTTCTGTTAAATATGCTGCCAGGAGTTTACATGTAGGGAGAACAGTATGCGGCTGGATTATAAATGTAACTCATATGTGCACAATTACAAATAGAACTCCTTATATGCATATATTTCTCCCAAAAGTATATTTATGTATTCAAATGAAACACTTTTACACAAATGTACAAGTATTTGGACATGAAACTGGTAAGTTCTATATACATGTTTGCAGATGTAGACATTTAGAATGATCTTTGGTCCAAACGATCAAAACAAGTTTACAGTATAATTAGTTTGTAATTTAAAAAATCTTTTTATCAATGCTACAGGTGAATCTTGCACCTCATAAACTGGAACACAATCATGTTCTGGAACATTCCCTGCACCAACTGCTGAGAGAAGTACACGACAGGAATCTCAACTACAGCCCCCCACATCCAGCCAATGCCATGCTGGGAATGAGCAAGCGGAGAAGGCTTGCAGGACCCAGAGCCATGTCTAGGTCTGAACTGGTCGAAATGGTACAGAGGTAAGTGATGTTTGCACATTTGTGTTTGAATTGTGCATGAGTTTATGCGAGAACATACATTTGTTAATTTTGAGTACCAGATGTGGTTTGTTGGTTATTACCATTTGTTGTGTTCTTATCACATTAAATATACATGTTGAGAAATTCAGGTAGATATAGGATGATAAATAAGGCCAAGGTTATCCCATAGCAGATAATGACATCGAAGTGCCAAGTTGAGTTGATGTCTGAGCTGTAATGCTTGGAAACTAATCCAGTGCTTGAAATTTAATGAGGAGTGGTTAAGTTTTGTGAATGAGCAGCAGGCAAGCATCTACTTATTGCTCTACTACAGCTCTTTCAGAATGCTGATGGGTCTGTTAAAATAGGAGCCTGTCACATTACACATGCACACAAATTCATATACATCTAAAGGCATGGACAAGTTTCTTTTACTACAGAGTATTTTACTAAATTACTAAATATGTGGGGAGACATGGCAGTTGTCTTCTTCTTGTTCACCAGCTGTGAATTCCGGCAGAAAGTCCAGGTTATTCGTCCATTTGGACATTTGGCTTTTACCTGGACCTGAGTTTTGTGTGTACATCCATTTTACTAGCTTATTTGTGTGCAGTTATCGTTCCCTGCCTCACCGGCAGATGTACACCGACTTTGAGGAAAGACGTCAAGCCTATCACTTGGATGACTTTGGCCATTGTTTGGTGGGACAAGATGTTGCCCTCATTTGTGTGGTGTCCTCTTTGTCCATTTATCTGCAGGTGTTGCCCCTGGAGCGCACGCCCCCCCCCCACCAGTGCAACCCTACGTAGAATGGTCTGCCTTCGAGGGAAGGCGGGGGCAGATCGTGGGCATTCCCCGCCATCCAAGGAGGCTTCCATGAATGCAGAGCCAACACATTACACTCTGGTTCTGGGCTCACCTGAGGAATCATGAGGTCCTCCACATGACTGCTTAACCTCACAACCGTATATTAGGCTTCCCTCTCAACACGGGCTATGCCCTCCATAGATTAGCGGGCAGCAGCCTGTAGGTCCAGGACTTTTGTGACCACACAAATAGGTACATTCTTCTTCATCGCACGTTAGACACTACTAATGTTGTTTTAACTGTGCTCTTAGCACGTCAGTATAGAGAAGCATGCGTCAGGCATGGCTCCACCTGTTTGGTCCCAACACTCGGGCGAGTGGGGCCTGTGGATACAGACATTTGGACTTTTTCCAGTCAGTAAGATTTATCTATCTTTGTCGGACATTAGGGCTTAGCCTGTAGATGAACAGTTGCTATCGTGGTGTACCTCAGCGCAATGACGACGATGCTGAGGGTTGACAGAGGATGTGTGTAGGTAGGATTTTACTGTGAGAAACCACCCACAAATGTTACTCTTCTAGGCTGTGGGTAAATCTATTGGTCAAGCGTTGAGTCTCAGCAGCACAGTTTTCCTTTCACTCCACAGACTTCTGATCGAGAGTTGTCATTTAGTGGTACATTTGGCCAGCAGACTTTATAGAGTTTTTATATACTTTTTCACCCATGTATTTGGGGGTGGCTAATGAGAGCCAGAAAGGACACTACACCTTTGGTGGCCACTAACTCCGAGATCCCCTGCCAGCTCTGTTAATGCTCATTTGAAACATTATCCATGGCGCTTGACGGGGACGGGCAGCAGGAGTCTTGCATGAGGTTACGTAAAACCAGAAAAGTGAAGGACTGGCCCCCGAGTTACGTACGGAATATCTCCTTATACACATCACATCGGACTTAACTTTCCCTCACGCCTGTGACCAAAAAATCACTGCGCCACATGGCAGTAGTGACTAATTTCTCACTTGTGCTCGCTTGTAATTTCTTGGTTGTGAGTTCATATCTGCATCAAGATGGATTTTTTAAATTGATCTGGGCTCTCATTGATTATTAGAGGAAAGTTATTTTATTCTTAAACGTTTAAGAGTGCTTCATTTTTAGTCCTTTTTTAAATAGATAAACAGTATTATTTGTTAGTAATTTTTTTTAAATAGACAAACAATATTTGTGAATTAATCATTATTTAAATAGACAAACAATATGATTTGTTAATAATAACTTATAAACTTTTTATTACAGTGAATCTCTCCTGGAGCAAATATTGAAGCAAACAAAGCATGCAGTTCTGCGAATAAGGTATGTGTACAGTATGCACAAGCAAAACATTTTTTTTTTGGGGGTACACTTAGTGTATGAAATGCTTGTTTCCAGTAGCATTAGTAATGGCAATTGACAGCCAGACTCTGTCTCTTGCTTCTGGTAATTTCTTCCCCTTTCTTAGTTTATTTCTGTTCTGTTCAAATGTTTGTATTTGTATATCTTTACCTTGAAGCGAGTATTCTTTACAGGTATCAACCTTCAGGTTTTTACTTTGTGATGCTCTTCTAACTCCCGCTTGAAAACATTTGATCACAAACATCACAAAGAGACAGTCGTCATCAGTTATTCAAATGTTATAAAAAGAAGTAAACTGTACATGTTGTGACCACTGGAAAGATCTGTGGAAAAAGAGTTGGAGGAAGATAACATGAGACAATTCTTGACAGCCTTTTATCATGGCATGGAGGGTGTCAGGACACAAACTGATACGTATATTTCACTTATTTGCCTTTAAAAAAAAAGTTTATGAGTTGATTGTGCATGATAATGGAAAAGAATGGTTTTGTTTTTAAAGGATCACTTATAAATGATAGGTGATTTATCACTTTGCCTTGAACTTCCAAAACATTTTTTGATGCCGGTATTGGTGAGGCTGGCCCAGTCATGTTGGGATCATAGCCTGTCTCTTAAGATTATTAGAATTTCACATAACTAATCTGTTAAATTATTAACATGGTCCACAACAACTGTCTGCCTTGAGTTAGATTTAAACCTAGGATTACCCTGCTGACAAGTAGCTACTTTTTTTTATGTGCGTGCATTCCAGTGATCCAGGGAGCTAACTCATTTTACATAAGAGCAGAATAATTTCTTAAATTAGTTTGCTTGTCTGTAGTTTTATAATGCAATAGAAATCTGCCTTTTGACAGTACAAATGTTTAGTTATAAATTGTTTATCTTGACTACAGAACTATGCATGTGATAGACCAGCTGGCAGTCAGCATTCAGGATCCACAGATCTGCGCTCACTGGAGCTGCCTTAACAGCAGTTTGGAATCTAGTGTCAGGATAACAATCACCTCATATTGTTATGAGAATTGCAAGTAAGCATTGTTCTACACAGCTAATCTGTGTTAAATCATCAAGTTAAAGATTTACATTGTAAATATATATCTGGTTTCCTTGGAGAGGATGGAGCAGAAAGAGGTAATGATATTTGTCAAACCTTACATTTTTAAGTGTGACTATAGCTGAGAAAACTAAATCAACACAAATTATAAATAAGAAGCTCAAAATAAGCGCTCTGTCCCCATCTTCAGCAGCCAGCGAAGAGTTCCGATACTAATGGTGCCAGTAGCTTTCTGATTAATCGTCCATCTTGCCTTTCCTCTGAGCCTTGAGCATCTACCAGAACCTCTCATCATCCCCAACTGCATCAGTCTCACCAGACTGGTGATAAAAAAAAATGGACTTCAGGTATGACGGCGCTAGCAACCATGATTATTTCAAAGCAAAAACTGTGCGTATTCAATCGGTTTTCAACGCCTAAATTAAACCTCTTACCAGTTGAAACACATGACGGCAATGTTTTCCACCGCTGGATACTCGAGGATATCAGGTTTCTTTACTTGTTGCCTGGCTGGTTACACTGACTGTGGTAGAAACAACAGGCGAGCTGGAGTTTGTAGCTATCCTTGCGGCATCATCAGTGATTCCTGGGGTGTTGTCTATTCAAAGGTGGAGCCTTTTAATAAATCAGCTAGTGCATTTAACTTCAGGGAGAGGCTTGTCAGCAAGGGCTTCACAGTGCAGCGGATGTTTAAGACTGCATAAAGTTTCCTAACGTTCATGGGATTTAGCAGAATGTTGCCTTCTTTCTGGGAGAAGTCCGGGTAGATGGAACCCGTTAAATTTGCACAGCAGTCCATCTAGGAGACTTCAAACTCCGAATTTAAACCGCCAAGTTCAAGGTGGGCCAATGTGCTGAGGAACTGGATGGCCACGGGTGAGCTGGTCGTGAACGTTGGACGTCTGGCGGGCATGCAGGGCGGCACCAGGTGTATGGACTCCTACGGGACATCCATTGCCCCTTCCCTAGCATGCAGGCAATACTAGGGCGACCGGTCATTTCCTGCAGTACTCTTTTTTTTCGTATGGATTTTAAAAATAAACTTAAGAATCGTCGCCGGAGCTACAGGGTACGTGCTCTGCGCTTGACACATTAAAATCATACTGATAAACTATGTCTCTGTTCAGAAGTCATTTGATTTAAAACAGACTAGATTATTCCTCCAGCACGTTGCCTGTCCTTAGTATATTCTATTTAACAATGTACACATTAGTGGTTAAATCATTATTGCTCACAGAAAAAGTTGGATAACTGGCTTGGCACATTATATTTATTTTAGGCTAATTATTATGGCAGATCATTTTAGTATTTGTTAAATAAAATAAAAGAATAGGTAGCCACTTTGATAGCTGATTATTGTGTATTGAAAGTTCTATTATGGCATTGTCACTAGAGATAAAAATCATCTTAACCAGATCATTTATAAGTCACATTAACTACTTTATCATGAACCAGACTGAGAAATTGTCAGAATGTCTTTTTGAATTATAACATATAATAATACAAATAATAATATGTACATTTAACATCTGATTTGATGTTCCCATCATGTTCTGCTATTTTTAGGACTTTGTTGGTGTTGCTGATTGGTATAGACACCATTAAAGTTGTGATGAAAGATGGCAGAGTGTGCACATTGCTGTTTGAAAACAGTGAGCTACGTGATCTCATCCAGTGGCAGGTCAGTATCTGTAGGGCTGTATCTTCAGGTGGCAACATTAAATATGATTTCATTGGATTTGGAGAAACATAACTATTTGCTCACATAATAGTTTGTTGATGTCGCGTGCAAGTCATGCACTAAAGTATACCAAGATTGAATAGTGCAAATAAGACGTCAGAAGTTGTCACATATCGTAGGAGATTGAACTCCAAGGAGTCGCAGCCAAGAAGTCAAAGAAGGCGGTCGTGTATGTCCAAGTGTGGTTCACAGTGGAGGTTTTACCCCGGGATCCCACAGATCAGCTCATGTGCTGTTATAAACCGTTATTTAACTGAGCCAGGAGTTCTCAGGAGACTGTAAGAGAACTGGAATAAGCGTTCCTGCTTAACTTTAGAAGTGTCCACCTATGCTGGCTCATCGGTATTTCGACTGCAGATTAAAATTTTTTAAAAACCATTCCTGTTGTCCAAGGTCGAGGCGATGGTCTATAGAGGTATTTTGATGTTAAAAAGCTGTGACTAAATATGGAGTCTAACCTTCATTTTCATCAGTACCTTCACTGTGAAAATCAAACCCCTTACTTTTGTTAGTTTGAGATATTTTCACATTAAAACTATGCATCCTTCAGTGAAAAACCCTCTCACATCCACATGCTATGCACCCTACAATAGGGGTCTTTGCCTATCAACATCAAACCCCTGGCCACTCCTTCTACTGTTGAGCCAGCATGAAAAGTTTTAAATGGCTGTCAAGGTTTTGTTAAAATATGGTTATTTGTTTATTACACGCTAAAGCCTAATTTTTTTTTAAACAGCTGAAAGTAAAGCTTACTACTCTACTTTAAAATGACCAACAAAATTGCCACCAAAAAAACAAAAAACTAATGAGAATAGCAGAGGAAGCATTATCTATATAGATAAAGATGTGAATGTTCCTTTGTTAGTGGTAGCTAATCTCCAAAAGTTCTTCACCGGTTGCATTTAATTTTGGACACAGCGTTGCATTCAACTACTTCTGTGTTTTTAGGTAGGGGTGTCGCACCTTCTGCGGGTAGGTGAACTTTGACTGTCGACCTCAGAAATCTGCATGAAGCTGTATGCCCACAATTCTTCACCGATTACTTTCTCATTTTGACACAATGTTGCATTAGAATACGCAAGTGTTTTTTTATATAAGAATGTTGCACAAAGCACGAACTACATAACTCCAACAATGATCACATCAGCATATTGGTTCTGTTTACTAATGATCCAATTTTTTTTTTATTACCACCTTCCCGGCACAGGTTGTAGGCAATCTCTGACTGTTGACCTCATAAATTGCCATGAAGCTGTTTGAGATAATAGATTATGTGGTAAATATTACACTGGCCACATTCACTTCTCATTACAATTCATGCTACTCAATTTTGTCTGGGTGGACTAAGGTCCTAGGTCTTGAAATTTCCAAATATTCATTCAACAACTTGTCATGCCAATGACAAAATCATTTATTATCTCATACAGCTTCATGTATTTTAAAATGCAAACGCAGATCAATAAACACAGGTCAACTCCACCGTCATTTGCAATGAAAAATAAATGAACTAGTAAAAAACCAAAATGCAAAATAATAGGGAAAAATAATAAAGTGTACTTACAAAATGAAATGCTATTGTAACCGTGCTTTGTGCGACACTCATATATCAAAACTTTCCGCACAGTGTCATGCATATTTGTGAGGTCAACTGCAGGGCTGCCAATGGGATTTTTTTATCAAAACTCAAGCTAAGCTGACTAAAAAACCAAAGCAATACATAAGCAAAGAAAAACAAAAAACAACCCAAGATTGATAAATATTACAAATTTTATAGTTATGAAATGAAACATTTACCCACTTTTATATAAGGATACATAAAAAAAACAAAAAACCAGGATTCCAAAATCTGAAAAAGTGTCATAAAAACGGGGGTGGGGGGGTTAGTTTGCAATAGCAGCTGTGTCCTGGCTTAACCTTCTAGACCTGTTTGTGTATGCACCAGAGAACATGTTTTTGGTACACATGAATCTCCAGTATATGCAGTTTGCCTAGGACATTTCAATGTAAATTATAATGGTGTTCAGAACCCAGTAAAATAATGGCTAAGTTGAGAGATCAGTTAGCGTGTTATGTTGTGATACCAGAAAGGAATGCTGCTGATACCTTTGTCTTTCTTTCATGTTGAGTGTAACAAGATTTAAAAATAAAGCTATTAAATTCTTCTGTATAGGCCTTCTGTAGTGCTAGGTTATATTTTCCATATAATGTTATGTAGGAAACGTTTCCAAGGCGGGCAACAGAAATGCTTTGACATCTTGAAGTCTTCACTCAGAGCATTTGGGATGGACATCAATTGGGAGGTTGCCTCTCAAGACTGAAATGCATGGAGTGCAAATCTACACAGAGGTGCGACTACATGTGAAACAAACAGAACAGCAAGACTGATTAAGAAAAGGATCAACAGAAAGGCGACTGCAGGAGATCCCCTCGCTGGCACAACACTCATTCCCTGTCCTCACTGTCCAAGAACTTTTCGGGCCCGCATTAGCCTTATCAGTCATCTTCGTACCCATACATGGACAACACACACATAATGTTATTTAGCAACCAGTTTTTGATATTGCTAAAGTTGCCAAATCTTGCTGATCAATCAGACTACTGAGACAAATTTCATATCTGTTTTTGTGATATAGATTTGTCAGCATCATGCTCAGTCCATTCAGTCATTGGCAAAGATGCAGGGGTGGCAGGTGTTGTCTGCCATTATCAACAGTGGTCATGGAGACATGGAGGCATATGGTACTACCACAGATGTAATGCTGGCATCTCCAAAAGGAAATGTGTAAGTTGTGACAGCATTTTTGAAAAACTTTGCTTTTGTTGATTTTTCTAATTTTATATTTCTCTTTGATAAAAGAATTAGTGCTATATATAATAATGCACAGTTACTTATTTTTTTTATATTATCTCTCCATTCTTCCATTTAGACACTTTAAGAAATAAATAAATAAAAATCAGTACTTACAGAAGATGAATAATGATAATGAAAAGCTTATAAACGTTCATTGTGTCATTTATGGCAGTTAAAATAGTGGCTCTTAAAAGACTTGTCAGAAGGTGTGCGTTCACAGTGGGTCTGATGCATGCTTTCTTTCTTCTCCTTCATGAGTGTTAGCTACTGTCTGCCTGAGTTGTGGAACTTTATTACTTCAGTCTATTTCTCAATAACTGTTCTGAAGAAGAAGCAAAACAAGTTGTCTGTCCCCACCCAGCACAGTCCTTCAAACCACCTGCTTGTTTTTCTTTACATTTTTGCTGTTAATCGGTTTTAGCCATTTTAGTTATGATTAATATGGTTTTGTTAACCTTCTACCTAGCTTTCCTCTTCTATGTCACTGTCTCCGCTAAGGTCTTCTTTATATATTCTTTTGGACAGCTACTAAGATAATGGTGTAGATATTGTATATAATGTAATAATTTTTTTAAATAATTGCCAAAAGCTGGTCCTGTTCTGACCATAATTGGACTACTGGGTCACATCGCCTTATAAGAATTGTTTAATAAAGTGAGACATTGCCAAGAGAAGGCTGTAGGCTAGTAACATTAGGCTACAGGAAATATTTAACCAGTGAGGGTTGAATCAGTCAGGCGAGAATATAATCGACTCATCAGTGATATGTGCATTTGTCCTAGGGATCTCAAATGCTCCCATGCTGGATATACTGCTGGGCACTCAGACAAAGCAACAATGGGACATGTTGCCAGGGATACATCTGTACAGGAAAGGCCAAGTGCTTTAGATTACTATAAAAAGCAATTTTTTAGCTGGTAACTGCATCTAAGATGTTTAAGGCTATTTGCTTACAGATCTTAAATGTATGAATATACAGACCCATATGGAGTTGATCATTTTGACATCAAAGAGTGAAATACACATTATTTTTATTTTGAGTGCAAAGTAAAGGTATAGATCCTTTTAGGAATTTACATTATTTATGTATTTTTAGAATAAACTTATTACATGATGTAATATGTTTTTTTCTTTTCTTCACAGCATACTAGCTTTCCATAGTAACCCTGTAAGTGGTAACAAACTTGCAATCAAGAAACTGGATCCTTCACTAGATGCTCACATCTCTCCAGCTGTGACAGCTTCAAAGTGGGCAAGTTTAGCTGGAGATTTTCAGGTGAGTATTTGCTTAGTTACTTGTTCTCCTTGTTGTCCTATAATGCCATCTCAATGTAATCATTCACATGTCGTCCCTCCCCACCCCTCCCCCTTTTTTTTTAAATAAAAATTTTAAACTTTCAACTGTTTATTCCAAGGTGCCATTAGATCAAAGACAGCCTAACCGAACATTTTGTGCATTTTGCCAAAGAGTGATTCTTGACAGATTACTTCCACATGTAGGTTCCAGGGCCCCATTATGGGGAAAATATAGCTACTGCCTCTCCAACAAGCATGTGGTAAGAGTAAACTGGGAGCTTTCTTTAAAGTTGCAGTGCCTGGGAGGAAAGGAACCAGCACTTTGCATACAAATAAGCCAGATCTGTAAAACAGGTGTGCACACAACACTCAGGTTCTGGGACAAGTCCAGATGTGGACAAACGACCAGAACTTTCAGCCAGGAGTTGACACTGTTTAGCAGAAAGAAGAAAAATGGATTGTACCATTGTGCCTGTGTTGTCCTCAGATTACTTCAGAAAGATATGCCTTGTTTTATTCCTTTCCACCTCAATGTAGCCTCTATGACAATATAAATGGTATCTGTTGTTAGTCACACATATATATGTTGGTTTTTAAATCCTCTTTTAACTCTTATTGGCAATGGAAAGAGTTGGCATTTTTCACACCAAGATGGTGGGTGGTAAAATGTCCTAGCTCTCTGTCCAATAGTTGGCTTAAAGGAGTGCAAGCGCTATTGTTCCATGAGAACAGTTGCTACAGTTGTCATTGATAGGTGTTTTCATTTGAACTTCTTTACTGTATGTCCAGTGTAGTGGTGCCTGCCTGTATGAAAAGCAGCAATCAGATAAAAAGTATACATAATTAGTATACCTTAGAGTTGTTTAGGACTTATTTGTCAGTTTACAAGATGTCAGAGGCAGACATGATAATTCCTACACCAGATAGTAATACTTGTCATGCAACACAATTTTTCAATGGGATCTGTGTTACCATGCAGTTTTTGCATAACATGGATTTAGCAGGTAAATGACACTTTGGCCAACAATATGTACACATGCTGTAACTATGAGAAGAGTAAAACGTATAGACAAGTACAACTGATACCATGCCAGGTCATCGATAAGATGAAGTATTCGTTTGACTAGCTAGTATTTTGACAATATGTTCAAGATGAGATAAAAGTAACACATTATAGAGCAGTATCCGGAGTGACGGTTGTACAAGGGACTAGGAATATTAGACTTTATTTCTTTTTTCTAAAATGGTGTTTATGTTAAATATGTATTTGCGAAATTGTCTCAGTGAGAGTGATTCTCAACGCAGCAAAAATGTGATGCCTTTCACACATTTATGTCCATATTCTCTGTGCTTACACTATTTGTATATTTTCTAATAGGAAATCAACTTAAACCAGCTGGAAGGTCGCAACCTTGTGGGAAAGATAGACATGCTAATGGCTCGGCTGACGTCAAGTTAGCAACTCTTATTATATAAAGTGTGTAAATAGTTCTTGTGACATTAAGTGTACTTGAAGTATGAAAGCTCTGTGTAAATAAAGTGAGGCATATTTTTCCTATTTGTCATCTTGCCTTTTTCTGTGCAAATTCTTTCCTGAAAATAGTTCTCTCAACACATTCATTGCATCTTTGTTATTTGTTGCATCCTTTTATTTTTTTTTTATCTGCATAAGGAAACATAAACGGTCACCGTTTAATTATCTTTTAAAGGAAGGGTGTTCTTTCTTCCCAATGTACGTTATTTATTTCCTATCACTATTTATTTAGTGATATAAATGTTTGAAGAATGGTCACATTGACGAACAATGCTTGAAAATAGATTTGGCATGTTAATTTTTTGAGGCTGCAATCATAATGATACGTACATCAAATAAATTACGTTTATTTGTACAGGAATTGTATACTTTGTTTAAAAACCTTAGTTGTTGGAAAGATGTGCTGTGCCAAAAACCTTCAGACCAAATGGGTTAAAGATAAAATTTTCCCATGAGCCTCTGTGGGTCGTAGCATAGGTCCTGTGGATGCATTTCTTTTGTGTGTGATTATCCCATGAAAAAAATTAACATAAATACATCTAAAGAAAAAAAAAAAAAAAAAAACCATGTTTAAAATGGTTTTGAAAGGATTTTTTTTCTCTAGAATTCCATTGGAGTCACAGCCCAATTTCTTTTCTTACTTTTACTGGGGTGAAAGGACTGCACAAATTATGCATTTTTGTTTGTTAATCAAGCAAGAATAACTTATTATAGATTTGTTTACTAAATGTCCAGTTTAGTTGTTACACAGAAAGTAATGTTGCTGATAGATGAAAAAGTGTGAACATTTCAGTTAACACTGAAAGCAACTCTTAACAGGAAAGTTTTCACTTGCAGTGGATTCCGTCACACTGTGGCATCAAAGGCAATGAAAGCGCAGATGCTTTAGCCAAGGAAGGCAGTAACAAACCACAGACCTACCAGCCACTATCTTTTCCAGAAATCAAAACTCTCATTAAGAGAAAATCAGAAACAGATTGGAAAACCAACACTGGTTATAACTACGGAAAAGATTTTCTGAAACACTTGAACAGAACAGACCAAGTCACAGTTTTTCGCTTACGCACTGGACACTGCAGACTCAATAAACACTCACATAAATTAGGTATGAGCCAAACAGCTCTCTGCCGGTGCCTTCGTGCTGAACAGACTCCAGAACATGTCCTGCAAGACTGTCCTCTCCTGGCGGAGCTGCGGAGCGACATATGGCAACACCCAGTAGAACTGACAACTAAGCTTTGGGGAAACCTAAGAGACCTTGAAAAGACATCCCAGTTTATGACCCACAGTGGATTATGCGCATGACCAGAGATCGCTGAAGAAGAAGAAGAACAGGAAAGTTGTCATTGGAAGAATATTTCCAATCAGTTGTAAAGTCCCTGAAACAAAATGACAGATATGACTGGTATAAATATATGAAGCCATTCTAATATGCAGATAAACAGGTATCTGGTGACAAAGAGCGATCATTTAATGACAGCAAAAAAGCATTACTTTCCTCCAGAAATCCAGGGAATAACCGTCTCCCATTACCAAGGGCGAATTTTTCCAAAATGACTGTTTAAAAAAAAATTCATAAAAAAATTCAAAACAAGCATAGGGTTTTGAAACTTTCAGAGTGCCATTATGGATGGTTGCTACTCATGAAACAAAATATATTTTGCAACTCGTCACATGATCATGGCGACCATCTTGAATTTGTTTGGCTGTTAATAGAAAAATTTCAGGAGATGATTTAAAACCATCTTTTTTCAGTTTCTTAGTAAATATCAGTTCAATAAAATGTTGAGGACATGGTTGATGATGAATAAAATTAGCTTAATAGGAGCCAGTTTTTAATGACTGACCAGATATTTCAACATTAAAGGCGAATAAAGTGAATTTATTTTTCATTTATTGTGTTTATATTTGTCATGTTACAACAATGAGAATGCTTGATTAAAAGCACCTCTAGTTAAGTTTGAGCTACTTCCATCATTAACTGGAGTCAAAGCTGTAGCAGTAGCCCTCTGTCTTTGTCAGGAATGTTGATATGGTATAGCTTGAACAGGGTATTGTGATATGGGCAATATGCAAGCCTAGCTTCTTTTAACTTACAAACCTTACAGTCTGGTTTGTACCTTGGCTTTCATATTTAAAAAAAATGGTGCTCAATAAGTTGTTATGCTGTGACGTGAGGTCTGGAAGGTGTTACACTGTGCTGAAGAACAGCAGGTCTAATAACAGCCTGAACCTTTTTGCTCTGACCTTATACATGGAGTTGGCAGTGTTGTAGCTTATTTGCTTATTGACCAGAGCAGTGTAAACTAAAAATAAATAGTATAATGGCGGATACCAGTTATACGATCTAGGTGTAGTTTGCACCCAGCTGGCTGAAGTGATCGACACCCCCTTCCCCATATTGTAGTTGTATTTTTCTGCAAGAACTGGCTTATTTATTATTTTGCCCTTAAGAATTCCACTTTTCCTAATTGTCTAACACCACTGAAGTAAACAGTAGATATCAGGTGAACTCCCTTATTATCATGACAGGTAAGGCCAACATGCCTTTACATTTTGTCACACAAAACAGGACGATCTGCTTTTTTTCAATTTAAATTTGTTTTTTTTCAAATAATCAATCGACGCACACTCAACTGTGTCTGACATGACACCTTGGTGTTCTTTGTATGGAGTAAGATTGTCAAGCTTAACAAGTTCATTTTGAACAGCCTTTCTGCATTAACGAACATTTTCAGCTATAGAAAGGTTCTGGTATCTTGTGCCCACTTCTTTGTTCAGGTGTACCTACATCACCTCCGTCATCAAGTCCATCATCGTTGTTGCTACTTTCACTTGCGATATGACATTCACAGGCGAATCTCTACTTGTCCAGGAATTATCATTTTCAGCACTAATTTTGCTGGCAGATCTGAATAATCAATACTACTGGTCTGGTTTTCGTCATCAAACATGATAAAAAAGGCTGATTATGCGTTGCTAATGAAAATTATCACAATTTCACTAAAAACAACGCTTGTATCGGCTCAAAGTGGTATCGATCGTAGGCACAGTAATCTTGGAATAATAAAAACACCTGGATGCAGTTTAGTTTAAAAAACTATTGATAGGGACATCGGTCGGCAGACTACATGCTGTGAATTAGACGATCATCGAAAAGGGGATATGGCAGAAAATCGTCGAAGTTGGTCAAGTAAAGTGTTGTCATACATAATGGAATTTAAATTGAGGAAACCTAACAAAACAAAAACCCCTCATTGTTTTCAGAACAGGAATTAGTGCACATATATGCCATTTAAAGCCAGAAGAATTGAATATAACAAATGGTTATACCTGATATTTGTCACTTCTGTGTACCTAGAACATAATCATCATGTAACTATTGCCTGATGGTTGGAAGGACAAATCAAGAGAAAGATATGTGACTAGTCTCTGCAAAAAATGATGTTAAAATCTGATAAAGACATTGTCATTGGTGCCCCTAAAACTGTCAGGGATTCGTTTCATTCGGATTCCCTGCCACAGTAAGAATGCTCCAGCGCTGGATAAACCAAGTGCCAGGCCAATGAGAACTGGACCAGACACATCTGGCTCTTGCCACTGTTGCAACTGTTTATCACGCCTAATGCTGTACACAGACTTGCTGCACAACTCGTCTTCTACTCTACCATCATCTGGATTCCCTGTGATGTTTACAAAAGCAGTACATAAGTTGGACATTAAATATCAAAACATATTCACAACATATATTCAAATACCACCAGCAGAAAAATGAGATTGACCCTGATATAAAAAATATATTTCCATATTCAGTGGTAGTCCCCACATTTGTACAGACACATTAGAACTCAAGTGTCTTCTTTTTAAGCATTCTGAGTCATGAGGTTAATGGCTGCAGATATCACCTGCCTCGGTTCACATTTGTGATTGGTCCTCTTCGTCCAGTTGGTGACCCCCAAGTGTTTCGGTCTGCCTGATTTTTACCTGTCCACCGTCTACTTGCCTGCTTCAGGAGTTACTTCCATTCAACATTTTTAACCTCTCATTTATCATCTGCTTCAAAAATAACAACAAAAGCCTAAATATTGCATCTTAACACTCTTGCTGCGGGAAAGTCGGTTTTCTGACTTTTAAGGATATTTGATGACATGACTTGTGATGATTGTGCAGATTGTGCACCTTGCAGATGTTTCAACAAAACCAGAGTTTTCTTGGCCAGTGGGAAGGAAAGCAGTTATTTCTTTGCTCTGCTTGTATCTGGTGATTGCTTGCCTTCATTAAGAAAATAATATTTTTTGCAAAAAATTGGCTCTAAATTAGAAAAAAACATCCTTTTAGTGACTTTGCAGCCATGATGACATAACAGCTACCAGGCCTGCCTCTCTGCTCAGTGGTCATGTTTCTTCTTCTTCTCTTCCACCTTGTACCTCATCGAAGTGTCGGGGGGAGATGTAATGTTTGTTGATGAGCTCTGTCAAGAGCACTATTAAGACTGATGTTCATTTCTGTAAAGCTGTTCTTAATGCCATCACTCCATATTTTCCTAGGTCTTCCACTCGCTCTATACCCATTGTAACGTTTTAGAGTGGCTCGCTGTGGCAGATAGTACCATTCTTGTTAGGTGTCCAAACCACTTCATTTGTTGTTCTTTGATGACCTGTAAGACTGGCTTTATTCCTAGCCTTTGTCTGATTTCATGATTTCATATTCTGTCTTTCCTTGAAACTCCTGCAGCTCTTCTAAGGCATTTTATCTCTGTTGTCACAATTTTACGTTCACTGGGGGATGTAAGTGTCCACGTTTAGCATTGATAGCATAGCGTTGGCCAAAAAATAGTTCTGATAAGATTCACTTTAGTACTCCAAGGTATCTGCCTGTGTGCCAACAGGGGAGATAGTTGCCCCATTAATTGATTAGTTTTGGCA